GAGAAAAAGGTTATGGGCCTTGTCGTAAAGAGGCGTCTATGGCGCATTCTGAGGCGTCTGTCTCTACTATCAAAGGTAGTGTATGATCGGGCATAGAATGACTGCTTTCGTTATGTTTTTCTTTAACTCGTTAAAAGCTTTCTCTGCTATTGGACATAGCGGGAGGTTTGATACTGTTGTTAGAGGTTGGATATCCAGTGGGCATAGTGGGCATAGTGTGCAGACATACCTAATGCACAGCGCAGAGCGGATAACTCTTTTAGGACCGGTAGGCTGAGTAATGGATTCAGACGTTCTAAATCGGGTTTTATGTTGTTTTTTACTTATTATGTACCCAAGTAATTATATATTTTTGCGTCTAAAATAACATTTGTTTTGATTAAGCGTAAGTGAAGAATGGCTTGGAAATCAGCAACGAGAAATTGATGAAAAACGATCACGTTCGAAAATAGTGACTCTTTTCAAGTGTGATTGTTTTTAGCATCTAACCGTTATGGTGAGTGACACTTCTTTGGCTTAAAATAAACTAAACAGTAACCAAAGAGGTAGCGCATTCAAGCACAAATGACTCAGATTTTTGTTTATGTTAAGGGGTCCACCCCCTTTTTTAAACAAGTGGACTCGCCTAGTGTGTACTTGTACTGCTGCCGGTGAATACCCGGAAGTCGGAAGTCAGAAATGACAGTGATACAGTGAGAGAGTGAGAGTGTGAGATAACCGCTTTGTAGGAGTCACAGTTGCGAGCACGTAGACTCAGAAGGAAGTCATACTTCGATACTGAATTTCCCAGACTGTATATATATTATTATTACTACTAACCGCATTTCTGGATCTACTAACCGTATTACCAATTGTATTATTACGTCAATACATTTAAATAAACCTTTAGGAGAGATAACAAAGAGCCACAAAGGATCCTTTGTTATCGCAGAAATACTCCTATTAGTAGCTGTAAATCACCCATCTCTAGGGTCTATACGGGTTTCTAAAACTGTCTTAACTAGAGGTTCCCAAAATGTGTGTCGGGAAGCTTTCATTCGCTTGAATCGATTTTTAATCATTAATCTGAGAAAACGGTTGTATATAGGTTTAAATATTTCTTAATGAGTTGGGTTCTATGTATAGTAAGCGTGTGAGAGTCAACATCTGAAGACATTATTTGAGAATATGATTTTTTGTGTTTGGCGAAAGAAGTAAAGAAAATACTGAACAAAGAAGATAAAGAAAATACTGAACATTGAATTTTCAGCAAACTTAAACATTAGGAAAAGCTCAAACAATTCTTTTAATAATTAAAAAAAATGAACACTGTCCGGGAGAAGACAGAATAATGTAAATGAAGCTTTAATTTTCTAGAATGAGAATATAGAATCGTCCATATTGGCCTAACTCACCCTTGTTAAAAAAGACTCGGTTCTATAAGAATTAGCCATTGGACCAATCAACACCACACATAAAAAAAAAATGAAACCGGGAGTTTGTTATTGGTCGAGACGACCCAGAATGTGTATCCATGGTCAAAAATCTGTTTTCCTGCCAGGTCGTTGGAGCCTACTTTGGTTTCCCAAAACAAATAAAAGGACGAATTTCAGTCCAATTCACCAGTCAGATCTTCATTCCTAGAGAGATGCCAAACTGACCCACGCAAGTCAAAACTCTGACCAACCAGGACTTTGCCGCGCAAAATATCTGACTCAACAATCCACAAGCACACTCTATCTCTCTCAGGAACTATATCCAATCCAAACATCACTTACGATACTTTAAAAAGTTACATTTTTTTTCACTACTTAATAAGTATTAGTAAACAAACAAATCAAATTCTCACACAACTAAAGGTACACAACTCCTACCAATTATACAAACAAACTTACGTACACACACTAATAACTGAACTAGCACAAAGGACAATTTAGTACGTAACTGGACACTTAGTTTAAGTTTGTGAACAAATCTGAATAGCAATTGCAAACACCTTCAAACATTCACAATAATATTTTCCTTTATCCATTAAAGTTCAGCTCAATTGTTTTATTGAAATCTCATAATCGGTGTTTCTTAATCAATTGCCTCGTGATTGATTCGTTTTTGCATATCTATATTCTATATTGTTGCGGATTAATATGGTGAACATGCCCGTAAACTAACCATCTTAATATAAAAACCTTCTGATATCAAATTCAAACTCATAGCAATCCCAACAAGAACATGCTAACAAAGTGTAAAAATGTGTTACATACTTTCTCTCTATTGCTGAAAAGGAAAGCTAGTGGATGTTACAGACGCTATCTTTATTCACAATTTCGACAAGTCATAATACAAGAGTGTGTTTACCCAGGCATCAGAAAAAATTGTCCTCTGTGCAAATTGGTTTCACTGACTGGCCGTTAAGCGTTACATGCCCGTCCAAGCGCGGTGCATATTGGTTGACGAAGACGAAGGAAAGTTAGCCTAAAGCTGTATTTACATTTTCGAATATCCTGCCGAGAGCTAACTCTGGTTTAGCATCCCGCTACCACTTTTTTATCAATCTCAATTTCTGTGCAAAAAGTGGATCACAGAGCTTATCAAGCTTCATACATATTTTCAGAAAATCTCAACTTCTGATTGGTCACTTAATATTTAAATCATGTCCAAATAACATCGAACTAGTTCTTGACCTGACCAAAAACAAAAAACAAAAAACAAAAAAAAAAAACATAATTTCTCCAAAGTCTGTCAATGCCTTTTCGAGCCTACCACGTGATTAAATTAATTATAACTACCAGACACGAGTTCGTTCTCTTTCGCTTTCTTGATTTCATTGGCCTACGAAAATGTAGCTTTAAAGGAAACTGCGTTCCGATCCTAGTTCGGGTGAATGCTGAAAACATATTCACACACGTACGCATGCGCGTACGTATGGAATTTTCCAAACTACATTGCAAGCATACGAATCTTTTCAAACTTCATTTCAAACTACGAATATTCAACTACAAGCAATGGAAATTTAATTATAAGCATTACGGAACATCCAACTCTTCTAAAGCTAAAAGTTTATTCAGCATTTTCTAAGCTTTATAATTCTTTCAACTCTCTAAGAGTGAACATTTTGAGCGACAAGTTCATTCAACTTTTATGAGCTCAGATTTTAAAAAAATCATTAGTAAAACTTTAATTCAGTCAAAGGGACATAAAACCAACACAAATACTAACCCCTATGCTTGTACATCATTATACAAATATAAATCTTGTTGTTACAAAACCGTTTTGTGTTCTTTCTTGTTTCATATTTTATGGTATTTTGCGTTAAATATAGATTGAGAGGTCATCTTACTTATTATAAAATGCAGATTGTGTGTGTGTGTGTGTGTGTCTGTACGTTTATATATTGGATCGGATTTCCCACATTTTTCAACTGATTTCAACAAAACTTCACAGGACACGTAAAATTACCTTGCGGTGGTTCTGACAGTGCCAAAAATTGGAAAAACAATTGTTTTTTGCATGAAATCAATCTGAAAACACAATAAAACATGATTCTGTCGCCAGAATGAAAGGGGGACAACTCATATCGAGTTATACTTATAAAACGCAGGTTGTTTGTGTGTGTGTGTGTTCATTTATATATGGGATCGGATTTCCTACATTTTTCAACCGATTTCAACAAAACTTCACTTTTTTTTTGGCAGGTAGTGTTTCTTATTGTCTTCCACACTTTTTTCTTTATTTTTACATTCAGAATGCTTTAAAAATTCCATTTACAAGACAATTGTTTATAATAAAATTCTATTTAATCGGTAGACCCATAACGATTGAAAACAATGTTTGAGTTAGGGTTTGACCAATCCAAAAAAAAAAAAAAACAAGACATGCGTGTCCATCAACCTTAAACAATTATCTTTGTCAATTTTATTTTTCAGTCTTTATGATGGTCGATACTTGATCTATCTCTTACTGTTACATCCCCGGGCAGCGCCGGGCTCTACTGCTAGTATCAACTAACAGGGCTTCTACACTTAGATATTAGAAACCTGTATAGACCCTAGAAATGGATGATTTGGAGATTCTAAAAGGAGTAAAGATGATTATCTCTGCAAAGGCAAATGCATTCGCCAGATTTATGCATAAGGTGTCCATTTATAAGAAGAAAACTAACATTGGTAAATCGTTCTAACCAAGCAACTTCTTCTTCTATGTGCCGTGTTCCTTCAGGACGTTGGTGACTATAGCTCACCACAATTTCTTATCCTTTGTATCTCTTAGTAAATTTTGTCTTTTTGTTATTTTTCCTAAATCCTGTTCTGCCATACATTCACTCAAACTCACCAGGTAGGTTATGCGTTGTTTTCCTCTATCCCTTTTGCATTCAATCTGTCCTGTGAGTATCAAATTTTCCAAGCCCTCTTTCCTCATTATGTATCCTAGAAATTCTAACTATCTCTTCCTGATGTTAAGTGTCATTTTTGTTTCCATTTTCTCTAAGATTTCGTCGTTGCTGACATGCTCGGTCCATGGTATTCTCAGTATCCTTCTGTAGCGCCACATTTCAGTTGTTTCAAGTGTCTTCTTCATCTGTGAGGAGATTGTCCAACATTCACTGACAAATACGAGGACGGATATTATGTAATAATTCGGTAGTATTTTTTTGTTTGTTTTCATTTTCCCGTTTCTTAATATTTTGCTTAGGTTTTGGATGGTATCTTTCATGTGAGTAGCTGTTGTAGTGTGAGATCCTTGTTACTTCGTTAATACAAGAAAACAAAATTGCTAATAAATTACACTTACACATAATCCAAATCGCTATATCTGCTTTTGTTTCTGATATGAAATTTGGCGTATTATACACAGATACGAAAGTAAGTCAGTGTAAATCCATTGCTTGACACAAGTATTTTGTTTGATCGACAATTTTTATTGTATGATGTTCACTATATATTTTTCTATGTTACTAATGGAGAAACGTTGGCTAAATTTAATTGACAAGGAAAAAGATTGTTAAAAGGATTTATTATCATTAGGCTATCTTAGTCTGTTCCTCTGCACAGTCTGTTAATAATATTAACAGACTGTGCAGAGGAACAGACTATCTATCTATCTATCTATCTATCTATCTATCTACAGTGTAACCCAGATATAAGAGAGTTGTCGGGACCGGAGAAGAAGTCTCTTATATCCGGGTTTCTCTTATATCCGGGTTTGGTCTATTTTATATACATTAACACAGGCTCTAATTTGGGACCAGAGAAAATCTCTCTTATATCCGGGTTTCTTTTATATCCGGGTCTCTTATATCCGGGTTACACTGTATCTATCTATATATCGTAACATTTTCATATATAGTAATATTTTTCATATATGAATCAGTTAATGAAACACAAATCTGGATGGATTTAACTTTTCAGAATAAGAAAAGTAAAAGCAAAAAACGAACGGTCGGAGAAATCGTTAGATTTGGGTGGTTCACGCCAATTTCTGTTGACTTAGCGGGAAGAAGCAAAGTTTGAATGAAAAGAAGACATGACAAATTGTAAAGGATTCTTTCTTGCTAATCCTTTTAAACTGTTCATAAACAAAACCGTTTCAGTGTCTGCAGAAGAAGAAGAAAAAAAGAAGAAGAAGAAGAAGAAGAAGAAGAAGAAAAAAGAAGAAGAAGAAGAAGAAGAAGAAAAAAAGAAGAAGAAGAAGAAGAAGAAGAAGAAGAAGAAAAAGAAGAAGAAGAAGAAGAAGAAGAAGAAGAAGAAAAGAAGAAGAAGAAGAAGAAGAAGAAGAAGAAGAAGAAGAAGAAGAAGAAGAAGAAGAAGAAGAAGAAGAAGAAGAAGAAAAATCCTGTCACTTGGAAGTGATTTATTTCAAGTGCAAAGGGATTTAAAAAAAAAAAAAACGGAGAATTTTGCCGTTTAAAGAAAAAACTGGAAATCTTCATTCAAGAAAAGTAGTGGTAAACCGGGGATAATGAGAAAAACATGTTATATTTTTCCGGGGGAGATCATCGTAGGGACTTTCAACTTTAAGATAACTATAAAGGTACAAAAAAAAAAAAAAAAAAGAAAAAGTAAAAGATATTGGAGGAGGAGGAAGGAAGATGATGATGCTGCTGCTGCTGATGATGATGATGATGCAAAGTTCAAGGAAGAAAGCTGATTTCTATCATCGAATCGTTCGTACGAAGCAAAGCTGTAGTATAAAATATATGAGCCTTTAAGGATGGTACAAGTCATTTTTAAGTTGATGTAAGCAAGAAAAAAAGAAAAAAGATATATCATATAATAAATAAAGTGCGAGTTCCTGTAGTCTCATCGGAAACTCGCTGACAACACCCGTTACTATTATTTGGTAATACATTTCAGATAGCAAATATGTTAAAATTTAAAAAAAAATTGGGACACAATGAGATAAAAAGCACAAGTTCTTATATATATATATATATATATATATATATATATATATATATATATATATATATATATATTTTCTATGAAAAGATTACTTAACATTTAAATATCAATTTTATCCCGATTTCGAAGTTTCTTGATAAAATTTCCAGTATTCAGGGGTTGTGAATATATATATATATAGAGAGAGAGAGAGAGAGAGAGAAAGAAAGAGAGAGAGAGAAAGAGAGAGAGAGAAAGAAAGAAAGAGAGCAAGAGCATACATGATAAAAGTTAAAATTTTAAACAAAGTTTTTTTATTGTCAAAAGACCAGAGGATTTTTTGATTATGAAATGATATTTTTGGTTTAAATTTTTTTCATGCGTCAGCGGGTGATCATAAATTAGTATGAGAAATTTTAGCATCTTTTTGCAATGAAAAACACATTGATTTGGAAATTATAAAATTTCAGATAATTTTCGTATTTTAATGAAAGTTTCAGGACTTCACAAATGGATAAAATTATTTTTGAAACGTTTCTTTTTTTAAAAAAATCTTGGTCATTTTTTTTGCACCTATTACCCTCGCCACTTATTTAATTTTATGAAATTTCAAGAAATTTATTTTGCAAGATTTAATGATATATTAGTTATAAGTCCAAATCATTGAAGAATTTAAATCATCAATTTTTATGTAAAACAGGACTCCCTCTTACAGAAAATCTGCTTTGAAACGTAAAATGAAAATAAATAAGACATTATTTCATTAGAAAAGCTTTTATTTGCTTTTATAACATATATTATAGACACTATTGTCTTAAGAAAAAATCCATGAATAATGATTTTTTACAAGAATTGTTTTCATTTTTTTTATTTACTTATAATAATCTATAAAGTTTTAAATTCTGTATGAATTTGTAGCTGTGAAGTGATATTGTTTTAAAGTAAAACTATATTTACTAATCATAAATGGAAAAGCTTTCTACAATTTTTGCGACCCCCAGTAATATAAAAATCATTTTGTTACTCTCTTCTCTTTTTCTCGTGAACACCCGCACCTCTCTGCGATCGACATATAAATGATGCGGACGCTTCGGCATGATACTCTCAACTCATTTCATTATTGTGTATATATATATATATATATATATATATATATATATATATATATATATATATATAATTTGCTAATTTTCATTAATAAGAACAGCCGTTTTCTTTTAATTTTTTTAAACATTTTTATAGTTATGTATGTTTTGGATAGAGGTAATTCTTTCAGGAATGGAGATATTTAAAAAAATCCGGGCTGCAGATTTATATTTTCATGAGATTCAATAGCGGCATTCTAGAGTAAGTTACTTCTTTAAAAAAAAAAAATAAAAAAAATAAGTGTGGCATTATTTAGTTGTGGCTGAATTTATGTCTATGTATAACTAATGCATTTGATAAATTGTTGTGCATGAGATTCTTTTTGTGTTCACAGATACATTTTTTTTTATTTCTGCAAGTTTCCCCAATGTACTATGAAGAGCAGTTATGACGGTTTATTTTATATATACCTGCTTCAGAATGATTATTGCTATGGGTATTTTTTGGTTCTCATCATGATAGTTTGGGATGTGGTTGTAATTATCTTGATACTGCGTAGTGGACCGTTGCGGTGGTGTGTATGTATTGTAGAAGAACACACGAGTTAAAATTTCCTGCTAGCCGGTCCAACTACATGAGAAAGTTGGACTTTAATTGAGTCCAAAGAAAACAAAGAAAACAAACAAGACCGATAAATATATGTAAACAAATATATATATTAATAACAAGTTAAAGGTTACAAGCACATGGACAGTTACATTGAGTGTGGGTGGTGAATATTATTATGTGTGTGTTGTGTTGTGGTGAGTGTTCGTACGCACGTGTATTGTTCTTAGCGTGTTCCCAGAATTTGGGAAACGCTGTGTCTGTGAGAGCTCACATCTGCGAGGTGGTATAAGGCTGAAGGCTCGAGGAAAAAAGAGATCGAGGCGAAGTGTCAGTCAGTATTTATAGCCAGGGGAGAGAGAGACAACTGGTGAAGGGTTAAGGAGCTTAGAAGGAGCTAACTCCGACAACTGCTAAGATTGGATAAATTATTTTGGATAGTAGATGCTAGGAAGTAGTAGGTAGAATTATATGCCTGTTTTTATCGAGTGTATTCTCATTGTTATTGTTGTTAATAATATCATTATCTTTCTGCAGTTGTATATTTTGTATGCCTTTCTCTTAGCATTGTGGATAAAATAATGAGTAAATTGGAGGTTTTGGAAAGTGTTTTCTATGCATATTTTTTACTTCAGATGAGTCTTGGGAGCTACAGAATCTTAGTCATTCTTAAATAGTATCCTATAATTCCTATAGATTTTATACTGTTGCGGTGGTGGAAATAAAAGTTGTTGGTAGATTTTTTGTAAACATTCAACTGAATGTCGTTATTAGTTCTGTGTAGCAAAATATTCAACATCATTTACTCAGTTTCGTTTGTTAGATATTAAATTATGTCACTTAGCATCCTCCATAATTTACCTAGACTTTCCAGTTAACCTGATGAATATCTCTTTAATGTAGAAATTTTGAAAAACTAAAATTCTTACTTTTGTTTATAAATACTTGTTGCAAAATAAAATCCTCAAATTTGCTTTGATAAAGTCCGCCAGAAGATAAAACACGTCGGTTAGGATGTTTTCCCCTTTTATCTTTATTCATATATATATTGATATGTCCCGGAAAGGGATATATTTGAACGAAGTAGCTAAGTGGTTTTGTAATCGACTGGTACGCGTCGTAGTCGCAGGTAAGAAGTGTAGATCAATGGCGTAGTCCAATGGGCGTCGTTATAGACGTAACTCTCAGATTAAGGCTCTTCTAACTCTGTCAGTATTTATGACGGACACCCGCCAATCATATTCCAGTGAGGGGGAACATAGGTGTATGCATATTCCATTATATCATATATATATATATGTGTGTGCATATTCCATTATATCATATATATATATATATATATATATATATGTGTGTGTGTGTGTGTGTGTGTGTGTATGTGCGGATAAGGTATTGAGTATTGCGCTTGAAGTCATGGATAAACTGTCTGAAGTTTATATTTTGATATGAACTTCGGACAGTTTCTTTTCATTTAGATTTATATAACAAAGTAGGTATATATTTTTGTGTCTGTAGTTACTAATATATATATATATATATATATATATATATATATATATGTATAATACCAATTGATGATTAGTAAGGATAATTCCTAGGAGGGTATAAATCCACAGAGAGCTCAATGTAAGAACAGAGCAATATAATAATGAATACAGAATCCTTTAAAATCTATCAGGTCGGATATTAAATTTATTTCATTGAACTCACGTTCATCTCTTCAGACCTGTTTTTTCATTAATAAATGAAGTGCAGTTTATTCAGACACAAGGGAAAGGAACAAAGAAAAAAAGGAGAAAAAGAGAGAAAAGAGTAAAGGGAAAAAGGAAGAAGTTTTTATGTTAAAAGGGAGAAAGAAAAAATGTGGAAGGAAGATAAACATTTCAATATAAGATTTTTGGGGGAAAGAAAAAGAGAGATAGACATGGGGAGAGGATAGGGAAAGAGACAGTGAGATGGGGAAAGAAAGGAAAGAGGCAATTAAGCGTAGTAGACAGTGTGGCCCAGAAAATACTTTTTCTTCCGGGACTTGACAAGTTAAAAAAAAACAAGGTAGGGAA